AAAAGAACCTGAGATCTCTGTTTTAATTTTACAAAGTTGTTTATTTGTATATTATATTTTAAAAAATGACAGTGATTAAATGGATTTTTATGAAATAGAGACATGTATTTTTTTTTTTAATTTCTTCTCAAGTGTGTGAATTTTGAAACTCTATAAACAGATTTATTTTTTATGAAAAATATACATTTTGATTTTCTATCTAATAAATTTATCTACAAGTACCAAGTTATTTCACGGAAGAAATTTACGCAATAAATAAAATATATGTATTTAATGTCTAAAGCTTACAATCTGCGATGTATCCAAAAATCGCAATTAAATATTAATATCTTAGAAAATAATACAAGTAGAAGACTGGCCGAACGAAAGGTTTAAAGAAAACGGCTTTGACAAAATTAATAAATTTAACATGATAGATCTATCAAGAACGAAACAATTCAAGAAAATAAAATTTTCTGAATAGAAATCTAAATAATCATTAAAATAATGGCTATCTGCATTTATACATGTAAACTGTGTCATGAAAATATGAATCTGCTACAACTGCACATGTACGTTTGCGCTAAGCTCTGACTTATGTACATGTAAACATTTTACATTAGAGATACTTAAAACCTCGTATTTATTAACGAACATTGAATGGTTAAATACTTTCTTCTATACAAAACTGAAAAATTAATAAACAAATATTAAAAGAGTGATATGCGACTTTTCAGACTAAATAATTATAAATCATTGCTATTTAACTCTGTGTGTACTGTTTCTAATAATAACGAAAAATAGCTTTAATTCGGAAAATGAATTATTAAACCTTAAAAATCATTTTACACTGACCCGGTAATCTCATATTAAGCATATTCGAAGGGCGGTATTTTGAAAGTCCGCAACCAATTTAAAATTAGATAAACAAGATCTAACCAATTAGCCAAATATAATATTGAATTCTTAAATAAAGTTACATACGTATGGAATAAAATCGATTAATACAATAAATTGCATTGTTTCGGTGTATTTATTAGTCTTGCATGGTCACGGCGGATCAGACGACTCCTTTTGTTTTATTTTTATAGTAAGATACCGTTAAAAAATATTGCGAGCTAATTTTCATAGTTTAGAATGTTAGAACTATTTCATCCGTTTCTACGATCAATGAAATTGTTTCCTAGAATTAATTTTGTCCGTTTTACGTATAAAACCCGATGACCCGATAGTGCACGTACCATAAGTACAGTATATTTTTTTATGTTTATTAAAAGACTTATTTACGTAAAGATAATGGAAACATTGTACGAAATGAAAAAGAATCAACGAAGTGAGTTTAGGACTTCATTTCATTATTTTGATTATTTGAATTTTTATTTAACATTCAAGATGATTTTTTAATCCATAAATCGTACAATTATTTATTGTATTTTGAATTAAATCTTTGATAAAATTGTTCAAACAAGTTGGGAACAAAATCCCGAAAATAAGTAGATGCGTTTCATTAGAACCAGGTAGTATTTGAGGTTACTAATTGACCCCAGGTGTGAAATCAGTACAGGTATGTTGACGGTGGTCACACACACACGGGCCGAGGTGTTAGTTAGGGGAGAAGGGGGAGGGGGGCGGTTGACCGCAAAGGAAGACAGTGTGCTAATTAGAGAGCTACACATACGTGTCAGTTTTCTTGTAAGGGAAGGTCTTCGATTTATTTTGATTTTTGGCATCCCGATGGATTATATTTTGAGTTTATTTCCAAGCCGAAAAGGTAAGCTGTTAAAATACTTCATGTTTTCCCCTGTACATGTACATGTATATATTTCTTTTATGTTATCTAATGCCAAATAAAATTAATGAAAATTTATTTTATAGTAACAGCCATGGTGTGATAAATTAGGTAGAATATTTTCATTGATTATATTTTATAATTTTGATTTCTTTTATTAATTTAGACATATGTCGAGGAATTTATAATTAGCTTTAAAAAAATAAGTTTAAAATTTGAACGTATACGGCCAAAATCGTTGTTAAAATCATCTGGATCATTGTCTTATGTTATATTATATTTGTAACATCAAGACTTTAAATAATTGTGCATGCATTTTTGACAAAATAAATCATTCGGTAAATTATTTTTTAAAGAAATATACCAATTGATCGATCTACTTATCATTTCATTTCCGAAAAGTTACTGTTTAAAATTTGACAATTACTCTCTGCTTTACCATGATATAATTAATTATTTATTTGATTAATTATTTATTAATAAATCTATTTATTCATTCATGAAATACGCGATTAATTATTTTTTCCTTTTACGCTTTAATATTTCTTATATGGATAAAGAAAGGGATAAATCTTTATTTTCTCTTTTTCAGTTGAATTAATCTTATTTTAAGGGACAATATCCCTCTGCTCCACATTTCACGACGTTTTTTTGAAATTCCAAACATTGATTTTCAGCAACAACTATAACATTCAATTCAAATAAAAATAGTTTGAAGTATGAAGCGTTGCTTACATTTTCAGAAATGAATGATATATCAAATCATGATTTGAAGAAAATTTGATATGGTCACTAGAAAGATCAATTATTTTTAATCTCACAATTAAATTAGAAATATGAGGTATATATAAAAATAATATTTACTCTCATACCTATCTAATTCCCTTTAGAAAACATACTGGAGCGATGCTTTTTAAATCAGAATATCAAATTGTTTTCTGTGCATGTAAAATAAAATGCATCCATAAACAAGAGTTATCGTTCCATTATCGCCCTTGAAATTCTTTTTTAATGAAATAAAATATTAATTAAATGTTTATAAACAATTCTGCGGCTGTTATTTCTGTACAATTAAAAGACTTACACGTTTAGAGATAGATTTTTTTTCAATTTACACCGTTTAAAGGAACTGAGTATAAATGTTTTAGGTAAACTATCAAAAATAATTTTTAAATATACTAGCAATAGAACTAGAAATCAACCTCTGAACAATGGGTAAGGTTTGCTTGAGTTAACAATGAAATGGTCCTTATGATAGAGATCTGTAAACTCTGGCATGACAATTCACTGAATTTCATGACAAAATTCCTGCAGAAAGTTATCTTTCTTATCTGTAGAGTTATCTCTCTTATCAGAGTATCAATGAACCTTAATTAACAAAACGAAAAAGGAACTCGGAATAGCTCAGTAGTTTCTTTACATAGTAAGGATAAAAAGCGAGGGTTTCCGAATATACACGATAAACGCAAAACACGATACACGATAGAACCTGATAAACGATCTACACGATAAACGCAAAACACGATAAACGGAAAACACGATAGAAAACGCAAAACCTAATAAACGGAAAACACGATACGATAGGATACGATAGGATACACGCACGATACGATAGGATACACGCACGATAGAACACGATAGATTTGTAAAGAATAACGATGCGGGTACTGTACGTATCTATATTCAAGTATAAATCAGATAATTAAAAAAAAATCACATATATTTTTCTTTCATCTTAAATTTTTTTTTCTAACAATTTAAAGAAAATTAGGTTCATAAAAAAAAATCAATGACATAATACAGTGTAAATCAAAGTCATTTGTTATTTTACCAGGTATAGAAGAATAGACCAATCCACACTTTACAAAAGTTGCTTCCCATTGTGGGGTCAACCAAAAGGTCAAAAGGGAAAGAAACAACATTTCTCCTCTTTATGCTACCAAACATTTCAGTGGGCTATGATGAATCCACCGTGTTTAAATTGTTTTCCTTGGATGTGTGGGTAGCCCCGACATAGGGCAATCATTGTACACTATGCAATGATTCTTCCAAGTTACAAACCTGAAAACTACAAAGGCTACTGTGAGGATTCTATGGGTTTATACCCTAAGATGGCGGTCAAGGGACATAAATTTTGAAAAGTGTGGATTCAACTATTCTTGGTGGTCTGTTTAGAGCGGCCAGCAACACTGTTTCCCTCCAGTTTTTCAGACTCCCATAATTTGACTGTTCCATCATTGGAGGCCGTGGCAAAAAATGCATCGTCTTGAGAAACTTGAAACCTGCCAGTAAATAACACATTCTTTAATTAAGTACATGTACCAGTATATATTATTAACAAATTATTTGGCTAAGGCAGTTTAATTTCAATAAAGTCATTTCTGAATTAGTATTACATAATGAAAATAAATGTTAGTGTGCTTAGAAGAATTATTCCCCTTGATGATGCACTTTTCTTTTTATACAGGTCCTTAATCAGTACTTCCTGTGCCCTGCCCCCTCCCTACCTGTTGACTGCCACCCTGTGTTCCTGGGGTGGGCCACCAGTAGTCTTCTGGGTTTCTAGTTACTGGGTGGAGGTCTCCTCTCCCAGGGTTTCCAGTTACTGGGTGGGGGTCTCCTATCCCAGGGTTTCCAGTCACTGTGTGGGGGCCTTCTCTCCCAGGGTTTCCAGTCACTGTGTGGGGGCCTTCTCTCCCAGGGTTTCAAGTCACTGTGTGGGGGCCTTCTCTCCCAGGGTTTCCAGTCACTGTGTGGGGGCCTTCTCTCCCAGGGTTTCAAGTCACTGTGTGGGGGCCTTCTCTCCCAGGGTTTCCAGTCACTGTGTGGGGGCCTTCTCTCCCAGGGTTTCCAGTCACTGTGTTGGGGCCTTCTCTCTCAGGGTTTCCAGTTACTGGATGGGGTATCCTCTCCCAGGGTTTCCAGTCACTGTGTGGGGGTCACCTCTCCCAGGCTGTCTCCAGTAAGTTTTTAGACTTGGCCGAGTAAACTCCCTCTTCTTGTGGACAATGTTGCTCAGGACTATCTTACAGGGACCATATTTTGCTGTAAATCAAAACTTTGTATTTTTTTGGATTAAATAGCAGTAGTGTTTTAGCACTAAAACATACAATACATCCATCTACATGTATATCAAATGTTTATCAATAAGTAAATTTAAATTTTCAAGTAAATGAGATAATAATACATGGAGGTTCTTACTGGTGGGGTTTTAGTCGGTGGTTTATTCTCTGTCAGGGACCTAACTGACCCCTAAGATGACACCTGACTCTGTGACTGACCCCTCAGATGACCCCTGACTCTGTGACTGACCCCTCAGATGACCCCTGACTCTATGACATCATTACAAAGCTTCCCGATGATGAAGATGATGCCTGACTCAGGGTCTGTGAAGTGTTTAGCTTCCTCTCTAGACTCTCGTCAGTCTTCTGTATAGGGTTGACATCCGGGCTTTTGGAGACAAACTATTGGAGGAGGAATCTGATTCATTGGAGCCAAACATACCCTTCCACTCAGAGCTCTGAAATATCCATACAATATCATTAAATAATATTAAATTACCATTAAGATACCTAAGAATCCTTACATTATTTTTTTGGTCAATTAAAATGTAGGCATTTTTTGTTTTTAAATAACTTAATTTATCTGTAACAAAAAATGTAGAGTAACACGTACAGCTACTCACTATGTTTACAGATTGACCCTTAGGATTTGTCTTTTTAAAAAAATAATGCCAAGAACTCCCCCCCCTTAAAAAAAATCACTTACATCAATAAATATCAACATTTTCATTTTTTGGAAGCAAAATTTCTCTACGTATCGGGGTAAAATTTACTTATCTATTAGTTAAATTTTTTGCAAACGTTTCAAATTAAATTGTAACCTCTAAATTTTAATGAGACCAACTGAATTTTGCACTAATGATATTATCTACATGTAACAACAGGAAAACACTGAGTACAGTCAGTAGTATATTTACAGTACACAAACCTGGAAGTACTTAGATCCACTCCCGGCTGTTTTGGATCTTTCTGTTTCAGTAATTCAGCATGTCTCCTTGTTGTGGCTTTACCTGGGCCCACAATACAGATAATCTACCATGGAAATTCCCAGACTCCTGTTGAGTCTTCACAGACTTAAGTGAGACAATCAGGAACTCAAATATTGAAAGCTTCTCTGAATTTAGAATAGAGAAATAAACATGAACAGTTTATGAACCAATTTTACTGTCAGAAATAAAGTTGAGAGCTTGCTTACCCTGCTCTGGACCTGTTTATTTTCATTATGTAATCTCTCAAGGCCTGAAAACAAATGCAGCTCAGCATCAGTAACTGATGGTGTCTCTCTCAGGTCACTGAGATATAGAAATTGTGAGCCTTTTAAAATTGTCATACATGTATAAAAGACAATAATTATGAATACATTGTACCTACAAGAATTAAGCTTAATTATCTTCACATGATTCATCCATACCAAAGGAAGACAACTTTTTATAAAAACCTACAAAAGGATTTTCCTCCAGTAAAACAACTAAGACAAATAAATCTTGATTAAGATATTCGAGAAAATTCATATGCTTCTTTTTTTTAAAACCTAATTGTAAATTTACTGAATACTGAATCATCTGGGTCATTGTCTCATCTAGCTGGTAGTAGATGATGCGATGCCCCTGCCGGCTGATGGACCTAAAGCTATAGAATAATATACTGCTTTTTCCTCAGAATATCAAACACTCGGTCCGGCTGACTGATCCTCAGAATATCAAACACTGGGTCCGGCTGACTGATCCTCAGAATATCAAACACTGGGTCCGGCTGACTGACCCTCAGAATATCAAACACTCGGTCTGGCTGACTGACCCTCAGAATATCAAACACTCGGTCCGGCTGACTGACCCTCAGAATATCAAACACTCGGTCCGGCTGACTGACCCTCAGAATATCAAACACTTGGTCTGGCTGACTGACCCTCAGAATATCAAACACTCGGTCCGGCTGACTGACCCTCAGAATATCAAACACTGGGTCCAGCTGACTAATCCTCAGAATATCAAACACTGGGTCCGGCTGACTGACCCTCAGAATATCAAACACTCGGTCCGGCTGACTGACCCTCAGAATATCAAACACTCGGTCTGGCTGACTGACCCTCAGAATATCAAACACTCGGTCCCGCTGACTGACCCTCAGAATATCAAACACTCGGTCTGGCTGACTGACCCTCAGAATATCAAACACTCGGTCTGGCTGACTGACCCTCAGAATATCAAACACTCAATCCGGCTGACTGACCCTCAGAATATCAAACACTCAATCCGGCTGACTGACCCTCAGAATATCAAACACTTGGTGCGGCTGACTGACCCTCAGAATATCAAACACTCAATCCGGCTGACTGACCCTCAGAATATCAAACACTCGGTCCGGCTGACTGACCCTCAGAATATCAAACACTCGGTCCGGCTGACTGACCCTCAGAATATCAAACACTCGATCTGGCTGACTGTCCCTCAGAATATCAAACACTCGGTCCGGCTGACTGATCCTCAGAATATCAAACACTGGATCCGGCTGACTAACCCTCAGAATATCAAACACTCAGTCCGGCTGACTGACCCTCAGAATATCAAACACTCGGTCCGGCTGACTGACCCTCAGAATATCAAACACTCGGTCTGGCTGACTGACCCTCAGAATATCAAACACTCGGTCCGGCTGACTGACCTTTAGAATATCAAACACTCGGTCCGGCTGACTGACCCTCAGAATATCAAACACTCGGTCCGGCTTACTGACCCTCAGAATATCAAACACTCAGTCCGGCTTACTGACCCTCAGAATATCAAACACTCAATCCGGCTGACTGACCCTCAGAATATCAAACACTTGGTGCGGCTGACTGACCCTCAGAATATCAAACACTCAATCCGGCTGACTGACCCTCAGAATATCAAACACTCGGTCCGGCTGGCTGACCCTCAGAATATCAAACACTCGGTCCGGCTGACTGACCCTCAGAATATCAAACACTCGGTCCGGCTGGCTGACCCTCAGAATATCAAACACTCGGTCCGGCTGACTGACCCTCAGAATATCAAACACTCGATCTGGCTGACTGTCCCTCAGAATATCAAACACTCGGTCCGGCTGACTGATCCTCAGAATATCAAACACTGGATCCGGCTGACTGACCCTCAGAATATCAAACACTCGGTCTGGCTGACTGACCCTCAGAATATCAAACACTCAGTCTGGCTGACTGACCCTCAGAATATCAAACACTCGGTCTGGCTGACTGACCCTCAGAATATCAAACACTCGGTCTGGCTGGCTGACCCTCAGAATATCAAACACTCGGTCCGGCTGACTGACCCTCAGAATATCAAACACTCGGTCCGGCTGACTGACCCTCAGAATATCAAACACTCGGTCCGGCTGACTGACCCTCAGAATATCAAACACTAGGTCTGGCTGACTGACCCTCAGAATATCAAACACTCGGTCCGGCTGACTGACCCTAAGAATATCAAACACTCGGTCTGGCTGACTGACCCTCAGAATATCAAACACTCGGTCCGGCTGACTGACCCTCAGAATATCAAACACTCGGTCTGGCTGACTGACCCTCAGAATATCAAACACTCGGTCCGGCTGACTGACCCTCAGAATATCAAACACTCGGTCCGGCTGACTGACCCTCAGAATATCAAACACTCGGTCTGGCTGACTGACCCTCAGAATATCAAACACTGGGTCCGGCTGACTGACCTTCAGAATATCAAACACTCGGTCCGGCTGACTGACCCTCAGGATATCAAACACTTGGTCTGGCTGACTGACCCTCAGAATATCAAACACTCGGTCCGGCTGACTGACCCTCAGAATATCAAACACTCGGTCCGGCTGACTGACCCTCAGAATATCAAACACTCGGTCTGGCTGACTGACCCTCAGAATATCAAACACTGGGTCCGGCTGACTGACCTTCAGAATATCAAACACTCGGTCTGGCTGACTGACCCTCAGAATATCAAACACTCGGTCCGGCTGACTGACCCTCAGGATATCAAACACTTGGTCTGGCTGACTGACCCTCAGAATATCAAACACTCGGTCCGGCTGACTGACCCTCAGAATATCAAACACTCGGTCTGGCTGACTGACCCTCAGAATATCAAACACTCGGTCCGGCTGACTGACCCTCAGAATATCAAACACTCGGTCCGGCTGACTGACCCTCAGAATATCAAACACTCGGTCTGGCTGACTGAACCTCAGAATATCAAACACTCGGTCTCGCTGACTGACCCTCTTTTTTGTGTATATATATTGTTGATAAATCATAAAACGATAAATCATTCATTCGAGCTAAGAATATAATATTCTTATTGTTTCACTTTGTGGTTCCAGCCTCAAAAATCTCTGAACTTACTACACGAATGCAGAAAGACAGGCCTCTGTATGGTTGTGTAGATATATAAATATCTACCTATTATTTTTTTAAAATAAATAAATAATAAATAAATAAATAACCACCTCGTTACCTAGTCTATTGACCGTAGCAAACATTTTTTGGTGGCCGACCATACATGGAGTTAAAGGTCAAATAAACAAAAAATTTTTATTATACGCAAGTTAGCAATATATAATATTACTAATGTAATATAGCGTACTAAATAATAACTAAACTAAATTATCATTATGCAGTATATATGATCAGTGAATTTAATTTTTATGATTATGTGTGTAGTATAATACAAGTGCATAAAACATCTTGTATTAAAAAACAAAAATTAAAAAGACAAGCAAAAGGGAAGGGCTGCCAAAGATAAATTTTGAAAAAGTGCTACTTTTATATATATTAAGACCCAAATATAAATTTTGAGGTCGTCATCAGGTGCTACACCTCAAGCCCTATACCATGTTTCTGCAGCTAGTACTACTGAATCATCTGGGTCATTGTCTCATCTAGCTGGTAGTAGATGGTGCGATGCCCCTGCCGGCTGATGGACCTAAAGCTATAGAATAATATACTGCTTTTTCCTCAGAATATCAAACACTCGGTCCGGCTGACTGACTCTCAGAATATCAAACACTCGGTCCGGCTGACTGACCCTCAGAATATCAAACACTCGGTCTGGCTGACTGACCCTCAGAATATCAAACACTCGGTCCGGCTGACTGACCCTCAGAATATCAAACACTGGATCCGGCTGACTGACCCGCAGAATATCAAACACTCGGTCTGGCTGACTGACCCTCAGAATATCAAACACTCGGTCCGGCTGGCTGACCCTCAGAATATCAAACACTGGGTCCGGCTGACTAATCCTCAGAATATCAAACACTCGATCCGGCTGACTGACCCGCAGAATATCAAACACTCGGTCTGGCTGACTGACCCTCAGAATATCAAACACTCGGTCCAGCTGACTGACCCTCAGAATATCAAACACTCGGTCTGGCTGACTGACCCTCAGAATATCAAACACTCGGTCCGGCTGACTGACCCTCAGAATATCAAACACTCGGTCAGGCTGACTGACCCTCAGAATATCAAACACTCGGTCCGGCTGACTGACCCTCAGAATATCAAACACTCGGTCCGGCTGACTGACCCTCAGAATATCAAACACTCGGTCCGGCTGACTGACCCTCAGAATATCAAACACTCGGTCCGGCTGACTGACCCTCAGAATATCAAACACTTGGTGCGGCTGACTGACCCTCAGAATATCAAACACTCGGTCTGGCTGACTAACCCTCAGAATATCAAACACTGGGTCCGGCTGACTGACCCTCAGAATATCAAACACTCGGTCCGGCTGACTGAACCTCAGAATATCAAACACTCGGTCTCGCTGACTGACCCTCAGGATATCAAACACTCGGTCTGGCTGACTGACCCTCAGAATATCAAACACTCGGTCCGGCTGACTGAACCTCAGAATATCAAACACTCGGTCTCGCTGACTGACCCTCAGAATATCAAACACTCGGTCCGGCTGACTGACCCTCAGAATATCAAACACTCGGTCCGGCTGACTGACCCTCAGAATATCAAACACTTGGTGCGGCTGACTGACCCTCAGAATATCAAACACTCGGTCCGGCTGACTGACCTTTAGAATATCAAACACTCGGTCCGGCTGACTGACCCTCAGGATGTTGTCAAAGACGTTCTGAAGAGCATTCAGAAGAAAAATCTGAAAAAAAAACATAATGTATAACGGTTTATATAGTTATTTCATACCAATGCAATTTTGCTGGTTTAAAAATGAAAATGAAACTTTAAAGAATTAATAAACTTTTTGAATT